TTTCTTTGCGATTTGGTGAATACTGAATAGGGGACACCTTGTATTTCCTTGAAAACTTTGGTAATTTCCATGTATTACTTCCTGAGTTCCTGTAGCATGTGAATGTTGTTGTCTTTGATCATGGAGGGAAATTACCTATTACATGGTCACGAATAGCGTTTATATAAATTAGTCCTTGTTTTGAGAATCTGATTTAGCTTACTCACTATTTGAATTTGATTCAAACCTAGTAGGATTATTGAAGTTTGTCTGAAAATAGCAAATGAAAATTTGGTACTGCCAGTGCCAGGGTGTAATCTTATGGCTTCACAAAGATGTGAAAGCTAGTAACGGTCACATATTAGCCTGTCAGTATCATCCTTACGAGACTCGTTAATATTTCAAGCTTTATTGAGACTTGCCATAGCATCATAATACTAATTCATGATACCATAATACGCAGTTTGGTGGAAAAATTCTTACAAAGTAAACCAAAATCAGACAAAAGGGAAAAAACTTATTTGAAAGTGGATGCTTTTCTCAATTTAAAGCTTACCATGGGTCAAAGTAGAACTTTTTAGTTTAAAAGTATCACTCAGCTTTTATTAGTATGCACTATATCATAAGCAGTGCTATCTTTCATATAAAATGCAGTAAACAAATAAAACTGAAATGAAATCATTATATCCCTGACCCTACCCTTTGATAGACACAGCAATATTATAAATGGATAATGTTCAAGCAAGGGCATCATAGTACAGCCTCTAGCAGAACCTGAGTTCCTTGACTGAGTGAATTCTGAGTGTAGTTTATGAATAATCTTTTTGTTATTTTTGCAAGAAAAAATTATAAAGTATCATCAGTCATCGGTCCTCTAAAGGTCAGAATGGAATAGGCAGTAGTACTAATCCTATCCTATAGGAGAGAATACCCTAGCAATAACAGCATGACAGTTTGTTTTCAATGAGAAGGTTTGCTAAATACTGGAGCAAAAAAATCCTCAATTGATCCTTGACAGCAATGAATGAACTTCTAGTAACAGCTGAAATGAGAGCTAACCTGAACTATTCTATGGACAACTAACAGCCAATTAATAAGTTCGGAGAATGTAGAAGGAAAGCTGGCAATGACACGATTATTACAATTAATTAGGAATAATATTCTTAGCAATAGTCCGTCACTGAACAAGAAAGTTAAATACACATTTATGGGTTTTCAAGTGGTTCAGTAACTGCAAAAGCATTGGCGATCCTCGCTACAGCTGGTACAAGAACTGGAAGTGATGCAGACATGCTTGCAACTGATGCAGATATGTTTGTAAGTGATGCGGACATGCTTGTTGTATTTGCCAGGATTTCCCTTTGGACACTAAGCATTTCATTCGCCATGGTGTGATTTGGTGCATCACTGCTACGCTTCTTTCTTTTATGAGTTTCACGGGACACATTTTCGCCAATATTTGTTGTACCAGGCTCGGTAGGGGTGGAGGTCACTTGTCCTGCAGGGTTTGTCCTAGGCTTTGCAAGGGTCCAAGTTTGAGGCACTGTTGATGTGATTCTCCTCTCAGTTGAAGATGGATCAGGATCACAAGGATTGATGACCCTTTGAGCAGAAGCAGCATCAATGCTTGAGGGACCTTCGCGAGTGTAGTGAAAATCTGCAGCTAGTGTCCCAGCACCAGGTAAATCATCGACAGTTCCATCCAAATACACAATCTCGCATAATTCTTGGGCCTCCTCATTCTTGGGCTGTTCTTGTCCAACCGAAAAAGCAAACAAAGAGATGTTATGATATAGTGAAGATTTATAATTCTTCATGTGCAAATAATATATTACATTTTACAGTTAATGTATAGAATCTGCCGNTTGAAGGTACCGATTTACATAAGTGTTGCCAAAGAAGTTTTTGAAGGTACCGAAAATCACTGTTCTTACGCCACACTTAGCTTTTTACGCTTAAGTGTAAAAGTTACGAACCATTGGAAATGTTTTGAAGGTACGGGCCCAGCACGCTAAGATGACATGAAAAGTAAACCAAAGTTGACGATCTTCTGTCTTACTGTAAAATTTTTCTCGAGTTTCACTACAAAATCTCCCATTGCCCGTGTTTTTATTCACTAATTTAAATTGTAATTGATTCTTTTTACTGACACAGCAGGGATTACAAAATCTCACTTTATCCCTGTTTGAATTCACAAATTTAAATTACAATTGATTATTTTACACTGGGACAGCACCAATAAAAGATATTGAATTGATCCTACTCACTTGGAGTTCTCCAGGATGGGGGGCGTTCGGTGGTCGCTGCATCTTTTTCGTCGCGATCTTCCGACGAAAACGAATTCGCGGTTGATTTTGCAACCTGAGGAATATGTCCGATTCCAGACCCAGTCCCACCCAAAACAAGATTGCTATACAGGATAGACGACTTCGTATTCACGAATGAATTCACTGTAGGATGTTTTTCTTCTACGGCATCTTTAATGGTTTCAAATTCATAAGAGTCTCGGCTCGAAAGATTCATCCTCGAGGCTGACATTTCGAGAGGCGGATTTGTCGGACGAGCAACAACAGGTCGTAGATTTTCAACACGTTCATTGGAATAGTGTAGTTTAGATAATTTGTTCTTACTGGATAAATTAGCCAGGTTGTGTATTTGCTCCGTTGCTATCAATTCATCGTAGATGTTAAGGATAGTAGATAAAGAATCAACCTTTACTTCATCACGCAACGGCGTCGTAGAGAGCAGCTCGGTCTGCCGCGTCGCTCGTGACACACGAACCGCTAATATCAGGAGCTCTAACATCAAAACTGTTAGTCTTTTGAAACTAAACATCCCTCACTGAAAAATAAGTCAAGATAAATAACCTGCTATGCATTTTTGAAAGCTTATTAATTATTATCTTATCGCTGCAAATACATATGTAGGTGCTAATCAAAAAGCATTTCTACAATTCCGATTGGGTAAGACATACTATTACGCTACAGAAATTATTTTGATAGTTTTGGAATCATTTGGCTTCTCAAAACAGTGTGGGAAATACGAGATAACATTTTGAATTTTTGCTTCAATATAAAGAACGTTGATTTTTTTAAAGAAAAAACCCAACTCTGACACGAGAGTTCAAGAACTTTAATGCGTCTAATATATTTGTAAAGTTTAAGCTCACAACAACGTATAAAATAGAGTAACAAAATAACTCAGTACTCACTGCAGTGAGTGGCAGCGCGCGCATTTTCTCGTCGACGAAAACGTGGTCACGGACGGACAGACAGACGGATGGACATGACGAGCACAATAGCGTCTTTTTTCTATAAATGAGAAAAATGCGCTAACAATATGAGTAATAGTAAGACTGACACAGATATAACCTAGCACTGCGCAGCGCCACGACAGAGTGGCGGTCGGTTACATGCAAAGGACGATGGTCGGTCAGGCGGAAACGCCCCCACAAAAAAAAAATGGTCCAGCCGGAAGCGCGAGCCCGAAACAATCGAAATGCAGGAACGCGTTTCCGTTAATTTATGCATGGGATATTGGCGCTTATGCGCGGTGATTCATCGATGATTAACCGTCGATGATTAGGCAATGATAACGAATGATTTGCGAGCGGAATAATTTGTTGTATTGCACATGAAACGTAATCGTCGTTAGAAAAAAATGACGGACAAATGATGTGTCGATGATTAGGCAATGATAACGAATGATGATATTTGGGCGGAATAATTTGTCGTGTTGCACGTGCAACGTAACCGTAGTTTGGATATTTGACGGACTATGATGCGTCGACGATTGGGCAATTATTAGGAATGATGATAGTTGGGTGGAATTATTTTCAGTCTCAGATCCATAATTGTTTAGTCTCTAAAAATGTGAACATATGAAGTGATAGCTAAAATCCATCGAATTGCTATCAGGTCTTAATCTTCCTGAAGGTGAGCGAAAACAAACACTTAAAAGGTACGACACATCGACACAAAAGCAAACAAAATTTCTATCCGGCACTACGGAATGTCTGTAGCTTTAGTGGTTTTACATATGAGGCCTGCAACAGAAGAATGGAAAAACTAAACAACAACGGTGCTGTGTTTGAATGGGCATTGCTGATTAGTAATGTACTTTAAGATGAGGGGTAAAATTCCCAAATAAGTTGATAAATTATTTAAAATATATCGACTTTTTGGGAGACCAAACCCCTCAAAAAATTAGATCGATAGTTCCTTTGAGCTCATCGAGGTAAGGTGAGGAAATTTTCTTTCTATACAAATCATTATTACGAAGGGAATTGAAAGTTTTTTAATAAATCGGGGGATAATATAGAAGATAAAAATGAAAGAACTCAAATAAACACGAAAAAATCATAAGATGCTGTATTGATGTAAGTTACACAAATGATTTGGAAATTTGAAAACAATTTTGGGAGTTGGCTTAGAATATTTTCATTAATAATGCTTCATAGAGGGTATTAAAAAACTTGGGAGAAATTAAAAATGTACTCAATAAATATATTTAGATCCAGTATGAACTTATAGCTAATTGTTCTTCAAACAGAAGAACTAATTTCAACATGAGTCAATAGTACAAGCTACCAATCAACAAATTTGTTCATCACCATAAAAATATCACGAATATTATTGCTTGTTCTAACCCCGTCCTCCATTGCCCAAATGAACCTAAAGTTAAATTAATTGTGTAGCATTTCTTCTAACGGCTTATAGCACAACACATGGCATAACTAAGCAGAAATGCTATTCAAACGAGTTTCAAAGAAGAAGATTTCTCACTGAAAAATAACGTGTAGTAAAAATTGTTAATTTCATGTAATTGACAACAATTGATTTCATGTAGTTTCATGTTGAAATGACCAAAAAATATCTGAGATGGTCTTTTCCTAGGCGAGGTTCCCCACGCGGAGATTGTCGCGTTGAACATTTCTACTGAACAAAATATTATTGGTACAAATAATCATCAACATGTCAATTCTTCAATTTTTAAGGAAAAAATTAGACCTATGGACCTGTGAGGTGATATATATTTTTCTCAAGTTAAGAGAGAAAATATATCAATAAACTAATCCATATTAGCATGAACGATTGTAAGATCACGGCCGATAAGCAAGGCTGCCGAAACCAACACGGTACATGCTGACGATGCACCGTGTACCGAGTTGTCAGCACGCAGCACGGTACATGCTGACGATGTACCGTGTACCGAGACGGTCAGCATGCAGCACGGTACATGCTGACGATGAACAACGAATGAAAGTTACAAAATATTTACAGACGGCATCGAGTGAACAATATTTGACATGAATGCGACAGGTTCGACAACAGAGGAACTGACGGAACTGAAACAGATCTCGAATACTGCGAAATGGAGGGATAGGTAAACTAATATAATATAAATACTCGTTCAATATAATGAAAAGAAACACGAACGACAAAGTTATCATAGATGCCCAGTAGGAGGCGTCTAGCCTCTAGAGATTCTGATGGAGCTTAGGAGATAAATGGAGTCTTGCACTTATATAGGTAATATAGGGTGCAGGGTTATACTCTCACTTCGGTTAGGTAATAAATATTACCGTTTGCAATGCAAATAAAAGAACTAAAACTAAATACGTCACAAATGATATTCAAGACAAACCCACGCATTCGCTGCACAATATAAGGTGAAGAAATCCGTTCTACCGCACAGTTCAGAAACTTAGTAAATGTATCCATACACACACAGCAGACGTATATTATTGAATAGGTATATTCCTACACACGACAGACGTATAGTATTGAATATATCCATGCACACACAACAGACGTATACGTTTTGCTTATCACAACATCCAACAAATGACATCAGTAGGCTTACCGGTAATTTAAAATACAACTTTATTCATTAAAATTCATCAAGCATAGGAAAATTTTACAACGTTTTATTGCATTTTCCATACGGAGCGGTTACACTATTGAGGCTGTAACATTGATTATGCGTTGCAGTTGATCGGATAACTCTGTTTGGTCGTCAGGTATACCTACATATTCGGCATCAGGTATACGTATATACGGCATATATTCATGACGTTAAATATAAACTGTTGAGTTGTCAAGTATACATATATTCGAAATCAGGTATATACGTATATTCTTCATATATTCATGACATTAACTATGAATTTAAGAATAACTTCAGAGCAAGTCATCCACTCCTGCATTGGTGCCATAATTGACGCCACGGTCGCGCACAATAGCATCGCTTTCCTGGTCACCAACTAGACGCACTTTGTCACTAGTGACAGCGGGAACACTAGCCTCACTAGCATCGTAAACACTAGCAGGAACGTCAGCGTCACTAGCATGGACACCAGCGTCACCATTAACTACACCGGCGTCACTAGTGTGGGCACCAGCGTCACTAGCACTAACACCAGCGTCACTAGTACGGATGTTAGTGTCACTAGTAGCCGGGCGTTGGTAACTAGCAGCACTAGCGTTGACTTGTTCGTGTACAGTAGCAGGACTGTAGAAGCTCTCGCTGATGCGTACGAAGCCGTGAGCGTTCGCATGCTGGCTGCTGGCTGGGATACGTTTGCCTGTAACGAGTACAAAATTATTAAATTGATAATAATTTATTCTTAATAAATTAATAATAGCGCTTGCCTGTAAATAAATTAATCAATTTTATTAATGAATTCTCAAGTTCATTGCGCAATAGTTCAAGAAAATATTCTATTTTTTAGAATATTGTAATGGTATAAATTTTTCATATACATATGTGTGTAGTTCAATGGTTTTATGAATAAAATGAGCAAATTAACGTCGAATTCTTGTGTAAATTCATTATAATAATTTGATGTGCAGACATCGAAAAGAAATGAGGAATCATTATGATTCATGAGTAATTATAAATAAGATCCTACTATAAACTCCCATGCTAAAAAGCAATTAAATATATCTATAGATTGCTGCTCTTTTTCTGAAAATATTCCTGAGCCTTTTATGACTTGCGAATATATGCTGGTGGTATACGAAAATAGCAAGAAAAGAACTATCATACAAAATGTTCGTATGTAAAGTATTTCTTACATCAGCCGTATTAAAATAACTGAATGGTCTTAGAAGAACGTAAGGTTAAAAGAATCTTCGACAAAGCATCTTTATTGTCAAATTTGAAGGAAAATACGTTGACTCGAGTTTGATCTTTTGTATCAATAAAATAATCTTGCAAAAATTCATCAAAAATAATGGATGAATTAATGAATTGACTATCTAATTAATATTTTCTACCGTTGAAAAACCATCACACCAGGCGAAGAAAAACCATAACGTCGAAGAATAATGTTCTTGAAATTTTCGGCCGTTAGAGGAAAAGTTTAAATTCAATATGCCGAAACAAGAGATGCAAGCCAGACGAAGAAGCTGTCAAAGGAGTGCACAATAAAGGATACGAAGAGCAGAACAATGAAGGACAGAATAATGAAGAACAACGAACAGCAAAAGTTCGATGTACATTCGATGCAAAATAAATAAAATTTCGGCAGATTCGCCCTTGGGAAGCAACAAGCAAGAGTGTCGGAGATAGGCCCGAATTCCTTCACAGTAAAGATTTTTTAGTACACAAAAGAAAAGAAAACCTTATCCAGAGTAGAGATTTTCTGGATTATAAATCTATTTAATAAAGCCCATTGCATTGAGAGCCATAATTGAATATTGTGCATGAATAAGTAGGGCTTCAGCGAAACAGCCTATGTTTGTTTCATAGATCATATTAGAAAATAATGCATAGGTACGTTTCTTACATGCACGGGTGGTGAGTGTAGCAGCCAAGAAAGATTACAAAATAATTAATAAAAACTCCCTAAATTATAACACGTTTTTTCTAACTGAAGAAGGAATTTATGTAACCTTTTGTAAGCGGTAAACAGATTGCATGCCATCAGATCCCTGCAGAACAAGAAGCGGAAGCGAAGAAATCGTCATAAAATTCCGTTATTAAACCACATGCAAATTGGCAGGCGACGATTGCAGGCATTACCATTGAGGAACTTTAGTAGCACACCAGTTACAAAAATTAGAAATCAAGATTAAAAAGTTTCATCGATTTTAAATATAAAATTCATGTAATAATATATTATTAAGTTTAGACAGGACCGACACCTCCTCTCCCAGCCTCGCATTTAATAGCACCATTAACAAAAACTAGAAATCCAGATGAAAAAGTCTCAACGATTTTTATACTTGAGATTCATGTAATAATATAAACTTTAATAAGTTTAGAAAGACCGACACCTCCTCTCCCAGCCTCGCAAGATCGTATACTCGTCAAGGTTGAATTAATCTTTTGAATTTGGAAAGTTTAAAAGTTTGGATTTTGAAAAAAAAAATTAAATATTACTACAGCAGCAGCGGTAGCTACCATATCTATCGGTGCCCGACATGGTAACCATTGAGACGGTGAGGTGGCGCGTTGCAGTTGCTGGTAGTAACGCCCTTGTTATTCGTACAGTAGTTGATGGTAGTTACTGCACTCGGCTTCAGAGGGGGGAATTTCGAGGGTGGAGTTGGGGGTTGGGGGCCTAATTAGTCATGGGGAGGAGGGTGGGGGTAAATTAAAAAATTTTATTATTATTCATTCCAAAGTAAAGTTATTACATTCCCACGGCGATCCTTACAACAACAATAACAACAACAACAGTTAATGACCGAATCACAATCAACACTCACAACACTCGTATAAATAAATGGACCATGTCGCCCAAATAATGATACATTTTCTGCACGTAGCATGAGCAGGACGTGGAGAACGCAGCACTAATACGTGCTTTTGCCGGGCCAAACTAGGTCAGGATGACCCACACAAGTGCTAGAAATGCATTGTTATTTGGACAAAGTCTCTCCATTTTACTGATTACAAGATAAAACTCATGAAAAAAGGACAAACTCGAGACAAATGTTCCCGGCAAAACGAACATTTGGTGGCTGACAAAATTTCACGTATTAAAGTAAAGATCTCTCCAGTTACACAAGATATTAGTGTTAACCCTTGGCTTGAGAGATCAACAGAGATATGATACTTAGAAGCTACAGAAGTCAACTTCAGACGGGAATTTGTTGACACTCCTTAACCCTCTACCGCCGTATGTCCCTCTCCGGCAACATAACTTTCAACGCAAATACGTAAACTATTGAGTGTTGCAACATGAAGACGTTTGTACGCAACAGAGAACATTTTAAAGTTGTCGTACGTGGCGGCAACCATCAGTGCAAGTCATTTTGCGCTCACTAGAACGTATCCTTTTTGGGAAGTAGGCTTGTGACAATATTGCTCCGGTTACTCATGTCAGGCGATAGTGGGTTAAGTCAAAGGTTATTAGCAAGCGCGAGGCCAGAGCAAATAAATTACCGTACCTATAGATAAATATTCCACGACAAATAATGCGGAGCAAGCAAAGTAAAGGGAAAAGTTCACACATGAACATCGTCAAACTGAACAAGAAATATAAAGCGAAATAATTCTGCAGAAATCTAGATTTTATACTCGTTATATCAAGAAGCAAAAGACAGGAGAATAAAAAACCTACTGGAAATCTGATGCAATTTGAAAAGGATAACGTTCAAAAGACGCAAAATCACACATTACCCGTAGAAAGAAAAGAGTCTACAAAGAAAACACGAGCTGTAAACTCGTGAAAGACTAGCGTTATTGAAAGTCTCATCACAAATAAATAAGCAATTCGGTTTGTCATTTTCGGTGAACTTCTACGCGTATGAGCGAAGTCATGCAATAAAAGACAACAATATAAAATTGGAAAATGCATTCGGCAGTGAAGTCGAAAACTGAATACGGCTGTCAACATTCAAGGCAGAGAGTGAAGACAACAGTCACTGTAACAAAAAGTGTCAAACAATTCCGTTCAAACATCGAATACTTGTAAAATTACTAGTAAATATCAAAGCAAACCTACTTGATAGGAAGCAACAACAGATTTTGAAATACGGTAAGTCGCTTAAATTTGTTAGAGAGAAATTACAATCCAGTTTGAGCATCTAATTTATGATACGGGACAGTTTTATCTAAGAAGTGACAAGACCAACAGCGCATCCATCATCAAATGTGCATATTAAAGAATGTCAACAGTAAATCAACGAGTATTGATCAAAACTTAAGAATATCAACTTCAAAGCCACGGGCACGAAACAGTACTAGAGAATCTTGATTCCCATACAAATTAAAAAAAAAAACAAATTGATACCACTATACAAAATTGAGAGCGTTTCTTTCGAACTTTTCCTTAGAAAGTTTCTTTAGAACGTTTCTTTAGAACGTGTTGGGCTGCGTCGTTCACCAATAACGGAGAGCAGCGCCGGCATTCAAAATGAAAAACCTTTTTGATAACTTGACAAAATTAAGAACTTTTATTAATAACGTTTGTTGTTTTTTTATAACGTTTATAGTTTATTTTAAACGTTTGTTGGGTTTCTTTATAACGTTTGTTTTTCTTTACAACGTTTCTTGGATTTCTTTCCAACTTTTGGTTTTGGAGGGTTTTTCTATACCGTTTATTGTATTTCTTTATAACATTTGTTGTTTTTCTTTATAACGTTTGCTGTTTTTCTTCATAACGTTTGTTAGGTTTCTCTATAACCTTTCTTGTTTTTATTTATAACGTTTATTTATAACATTTTTTATAACGTTTATTTATAACATTTATTCATAAAGTTTTAAAGTATATGTCTCACCGAGTATAGAGAGCAACACAGGCATCCAGACGAGCCCGTGTGCGGCCCCCAGTGCGATGATGAACACGTACATGCGGAAGTAGAACACTTGGAAGATCTGCGACCGAGCGAACGCCAGCACACTTACGCCCACGATTTTTGTGAGTGTAATGCCAGACAGAACCTGCACGAAAGTGGACCATGTACACAACATTCTAAGGGTATTACATGTACACAACATTCTGAGGGTTGTATAGGTATGTACATCAACATTCAACACTATATTTAATGGGAACCCTATTCAAGAAAGTGTTTATCCACAGAAACAATTTGAGAATATAAAGGGAATTAAGAGAAAAAAGTTTGGAGGCGTTAAGTTATCATGACATAGAAAGAGGGAAACAGAGACGGAGAAAAATTATAAGTATTCTGAGGCATAAACATTGTGTGGATTTCCCGCGAGAGAAAAAATGCTGCAACCATCCTTTGGTTGGTTTTGGGGTTGACTCAAGAAAGCAACAACCATCCTGTGGTTGAGGTCGAGGTTGACTCAAGACAACAACAACCATCCTGTGGTTGAGGTCGAGGTCGACTCAAGACAACAACAACCATCCTCTGGTTGAGAGTCAAGGTTAACTCACCAAAGAGCCGGTCTCGGCCAGAGCTACAACCATCCTGTGGTTGAGAGTCATGGTTGACTCACCGAAGAGCCGGTCTCGGCCAGAGCTACAACCATCCTGTGGTTGAGTCAAGGTTGACTCACCGAAGAGCCGGTCTCGGCCAGAGCTACAACCATCCTGTGGTTGAGAGTCAAGGTTGACTCACCGAAGAGCCGGTCTCGGCCAGAGCTACAACCATCCTGTGGTTGGGGTCCGGATGGTCAACCTGGGCGAAGGCGAACACGAGATGACTCAGGAACTCCACGAAGATGCCCACCGACTGCAAAATTTTGTCACATTAATTGCCTTTCTATAGGAATGATTATTTGCAATCAAATTTTGTAGCTTGATCAAAATTATCGATAGTGACCAATTAATCATTTAACAACGATCCTGACGTTGTTAAATGTAAATGAGGAAATTCATCTAAAACCTGGAAAAAGAGTTTATAAAATTTATAAGGAAAGCAACAGAAATGTGTTTTTTTTAATAATACCGAACCCTTAACGGGAAATATGTAGTTTCCCTTAAACCACTAGAATTAAGAAACTATGCATTTTTTAAAAACAAACGGTAGGAAATGAAATTTTGAGTGGCCGTTCTTTATTGTGTCCGTGGGGAGCTTCAGGATAATATATTTTCGATGTTCAATTCATAATAACGTCGGTACCCTTAGAACTTTCTCATATAATTCAATTACAGTGTTTCGTTTCAGACTGAATACAGTATCATAAGTTAATACAACTAAACTCACTACACTGTTAGAAAAAACGGTCTTACTGGCATTCTAGTGGCCGGTCATCCAGTGAAAATGAACTGTTTCGCCGTTTTTATCTGATGTTTTACGGATTTCTAGTGTTAAATTAGAATAAAAACTGCGACACGGTGTTTCTTTTCACGTGCCGACCGGCCACTGAAACGCCGGTAATACCGTTAACGTTAGGTAATTTTTCTAACAGTGTATACTGACATAACTAAAGAGTTTGATTTAAGACTGCAGGCAAATAATTCATAGACCTAGGCTCACCATAATAATGTTGACGAGGGACACAGCGTTGAGAGACACTCCGAACCAGTACGTGCAGCCCGCCATGTTGATGAGCAACACAATCAATCCAACTGCCACTATCATCGATGAATAAAAATCAAACCCACTGAACACTAGCATGACTAGGAACACTGTAGCTACACATATGAACACTGATGACGCGGCTTCTTGGAACACTGTGAGGTATTGTTCGTAGTAGACGTAGAACACGCTGTACGGGAACACTTCTACGGTACTAGAGTTCATAGGACGGTTGAGGTTGATTTCTTTGGTGATGTTGTCGGCGATCTCTCGTGCGTGTTCCAGAGCTTTGTAGTAGTCGCGTGATGTGCGTAGAATTGTGTGGTATGTCATGAAGTAACTCGCACCCACGCTCTGAAAATATAGATTTTTTTAAATAAGCATTTTCTTACACGAGAAATTCTGAAAAGCGTCGTGTTAAGTGAAGGTTCTTCCAAAAGAACGTAAAAAAAAGTATTTCGCATTTATGTTCACAAAAAATTCATTTTAAAGTAAGGGTTGTTGCCATAAAAATTAAGGAAAATATAGCTCTGATATATAGCTCTGACATAAAGCCTACGCTCTGAAAATATAGATTTTTCAATAAGGCTTTTCTTACATAACAAATCTGAAAAGTGTCGTTTTAAGTAAAGGTTCTTCCATGAGAAAGTAAAGAAAATTTTTCGCATCTACGCCCACGAAAAATTTATTTTTAAATAAGGGTTCTTGCTGTAAAAATTAAGGAAAGTATCTCTCGCCCACGCACTTGTAAACATATTTTTAATAAATCTACTCAACATAACACAACTTCTTAATTAAAAGCTGTTACAATAACAAATAAAATCATTTCCAAGAACAATTACACAAGAACTTTTTCAACCATCATTCAAACAGTAGAGCTGACAATTTTTTAACAGGGTCGACACCGGAAGGCTATAGTGTCACGCCAGATTATAAAGCTAGCAAAGCTGTTCAAATTTCAATAAAAATCAATCGATATTGGTAAAGAGGTTCTATCGTATCAGAATAAATGCAGCGACTGCAGTGGAGTTGCGACTCAAATGAAACCAATGGTAAAAGGGAGTGAAACTAATGGTAAAAGAGAGTGAAACTAATGGTAAAAGAGAGTGAAACTAATGGTAAAAGGGAATGAAACTAATGGTAAAAGAGAGTGAAACTAATGGTAAAAGAGAGTGAAACTAATGGTAAAAGGGAATGAAACTAATGGTAAAAGGGAGTCAAACTAATGGTAAAAGGGAATGAAACTAATGGTAAAAGGGAGTGAAATTAATGGTAAAAGGGAGTGAAATTAATAGTAAAAGAGAGTGAAACTAATGGTAAAAGAGAGTGAAACTAATGGTAAAAGGGAATGAAACTAATGGTAAAAGGGAGTCAAACTAATGGTAAAAGGGAGTCAAACTAATGGTAAAAGAGAGTGAAACTAATGGTAAAAGAGAGTGAAACTAATGGTAAAAGGGAATGAAACTAATGGTAAAAGGGAGTCAAACTAATGGTAAAAGGGAGTGAAACTAATGGTAAAAGAGAGTGAAACTAATGGTAAAAGGGAGTGAAACTAATGGTAAAAGGGAGTAAAACTATTAGTAAAATGGGGTGAAACTAATGGTAAAAGGGAGTGAAACTAATGGTAAAAGGGAGTGAAACTAATGGTAAAAGGGAGTAAAGCTATTGGTAAAAGGGGGTGAAACTAATGGTAAAAGGGATTGAAACTAATGGTAAAAGGGCATCTCACGGGTTGAGTGGCATTGGTGGCAGGAATGACGTTGACGGCGTTGCCATAGGCCGCATGCCCCGCCTTGGGGCACGACGCGGAGGGAATGTCCTCTAGGAAGAATGGCAGGTATGTGTTGAAACTGTCCGGTGTTGGGCGTAAACCGTCCTGCAAATTAAGATATCATGAAGAGAGTATCAATATCATTGCTCGCTTAGAGGAGCAACTTGTTTAGAATCATGATTTTGGGAAAAGTAATCGCTCGCTCCGAAGTCCACATCAAATCCTTATTTTTGGAAAAGTTATCGTTCACTCTGAGGATAATCTTATTTAGAATTCTTATTTTGGGAAGAAAATGAACGATAATAAGATGAGCTTCAATATCAAATGTTTGCTGGTGGTCCAACAATCTAAACTAGATTTGTAAACATTTGCCACCATGCTTAATTATTAACAAGAATTACCAAAAGGAAACCTCAGGTAGTGCTGAGTGGTAATTCAGATATAGCAATACGTGTAACTTTTAAATATCTCATTCCAAGATGAATTTTTACCCTAGTACAAAAATTGAAATTTCAACTCAACGTAACGAAACAATAAGATCATGAAAATAAAATTGAAATATATAAATTTCCGAGAAAAAAAAAACGAAGAATGCCAGCGTCAGGATAACAAGACTCACGTCAGAGATTTCAATGAGACAATTCTTAAATATCTCATTTAAAAAATGAAATTTTACTCTAGAAGAAAAATCTAAATTTCAACTCAACATAACGAAACTATAAGTGCATGAAAACAAAATTAAAATATATAAATTTACGTAGAAAAACAAACAATGACCAAATAACGAAACTCACGTCAGAGATTTCAATGAGACAGTTCTTATATATCTCATTTAAAGATGAAATTTTACTCTAGAAGAAAAATCGAAATTTCAACTCAACATAACAAAATTATAAGTGCCTGAAAACTAGGCTAAAAATTATAAATTTCCGAGGAAACAATGACGAAATAACGAAACTTACGTCAGAGATTTCAATGAGACAGTTCTGGCAGTCTGACGTATCGTCAGACGAAGGGCAGAAGGAGCCATCGTCGTGTATACGGCAGCACGGCACGTCCACGTCATTCTCGCCCATGTTGAACACCGACCACGACATGTAGTCGTCTATCCACGACGAAGCAGGCCGTGCTATGCTGCTTCTGTACACATAACACGTGACTATAATTACTACATTCAATTCAAATATTCTTACTTATTGTTACTGCATATTTCCTTAATTTAATATTAGGCACTGTTAATGTCACAACAACATAATGTCGAACACCGACCAAGACATGTAGCGGATAAATACGGCTTATTATGCATCAAAACTTAACAAAAAACCTTGATGAAATGATCGTTGTCAGTATTCAAACACAAGAGTGAAATGTCGACTTGTAGGCGACCAAACATACTTGCAAAATACTGCTTTGAAGGTGTCCAAAAATTTTGAATGTACCTAAAAATTTTGAAGGTGCCCAAATATTTGGAAGGAGCCCAAATATTTGGAAGGAACCCGAAAATTTGAAAACGCCCAAAAATTTGGAAGGTGCTCAAAAATTGTGAAGGTACCACCTAAAAATTGTGATAGTTAAAACAAATGTTCCCACCTGTTGGCGACACGAGAGGCCATGTAGAGCTGCATCACTAGTGAGTCTCGGCCGCAGTCAGCGCTGCCGCAGACTTTGTTCTGCTGCTCCAGACTTTGGCTGAAGTCCAGGCCAGGCTTGAGTACGAAGTACACAGGAGGGCCTACGCTCAGGTACGTGCCGAGGTCGTGGAAGTATTCCATCAAGTAAGAGTCTTGTGGCATCGACAGCTCTTGGTCTAATCCAACCTGAGGAAACATAGCATCAAGTAAGAGTCTTGAGGCATCGAGAGCTCTTGGTCTAATCCAACCTGAGGAAATATTGCATCAAGTAAGAGTCTTGCATCAAGTAAGAGTCTTGCATCAAATAAGAGTCTTGCATCAAGTAAGAGTCTTGCATCAAGTAAGAGTCTTGCATCAAGTAAGAGTCTTGAATCAAGTAAGAGTCTTGCATCAAGTAAGAGTCTTGCACCAAGTAAGAGTCTTGCATCAAGTAAGAGTCTTGCGGCATTGAGAGCTCTTGGTCTAATCCCATGTGAGGATGAAGAACGCGCTAATTATAATAACTTTGATCATGAATAGAAAGAAAATTAGAATCAAAATAAAATTACTCTCATGTATAAAATACGGAACGTATGCTTAAATACATGTAAGTGGCATATTCCTAGCTCTACTGACAATATTTTTAGTTACAACGTCTTTAATTACAAGATTCATCCGCCGACAAAGGCCCAAATAAATTGGATGTTTAAACAGAGAGCGGTGACCAGTTCCTAATTCCTTTGGAGGGAATTTGATAGAGAATCAGCATAGTAAACTTTAAAGAATTTTGTACAGAGTGAATTAGGCGAATGTTTAGGGAATTTTGAGGAGAATGAGGGCGATTAATTTTTATGGAATGTTATGGAGAATGAGGGCGGTTAATTTTATGGAATTTTGTGAATGATGAGGTTGGTGACTTTGGTGACCTGGACACTGCTGATGAAGGGCATGCTCGTGAGGCTCCAGAAGGCAAAGACGATGATGACGAAGGCCTTGACGGGACGTTTGGCCAACAGCGGGCCATGACAGTCGCGCATGTAGCGCACCAGCAGGCCTTCCTTCCTACCAGGGGAGGCCGGGGCCTTCATCTTCACACAGCACAGCACGTCCACGCGGTTATCCTGTACAACACAATATTGTTTATACTAATTGTATTAATTAATACAATATTGTAACAATATTAGTACAATACAAGGACTACTACACACAGGACATGCATAGCCTATGTCCAGCCTCTGCTAGCAGAGGCGATCGCCTACACTATGAAAATGCTGTTGTTTTAGTGGCATCAACAAATGATATGCCCATAATTGTTTCATACAATAGTATNACTACTACACACATTGTAATACTATTGTATGAAACAATTATGGGCATATCATTTGTTGATGCCACTAAAACACCAGCATTTTCATAGTGTAGGCGATCGCCTCTGCTAGCAGAGGCTGGACATAGGCTATGCATGTCCTGTGTGTAGTAGTCCTTGGTACAATATTATTAATAATACAATAGTATTATTATTAATTATACTAATTATAAAAAATACTTATAATAATGGTAGAAAAAAAATGTAACAAGTACTTGTTTCGTCGAAACTAACTCAATATTAATTATACTAATTGCATTATTTAATACAATATTATTAATAATACAATAGTAGTACAATATTAGTACAATATTATTAATAATACAATAGTATTATTATTAATTATACTAATTGTAAAAAATACTTATACTAACGGTACACAAAAAATACTTATACTCATGGTAGAAAAAAATGCACTCGTTTCGTCGAAACTAATTCAAATTCAATTTATTTCATCATATATTTAATAAACTTATAGAAGCGGCCATCATAGATGTAACATTTTTCAGCACTCGTTCGTTTCATCACAACTAAATCGAAATCAACTGCCCTAAACACCTCATGAACAACAGAATATTATTTATACTAATTGTAATAATAATTTAACAAGCACTCGTTTCATCGAAACTACAACCCAAATTTAATTCACTTAATCAAATATTTCATAAACTTATACAAGCGGCAGTCATAGATGTAACATTTTTCAGCACTCATTACATCAAAACTAAATCAAAATCGACCACCATTTAACAAGTATTTAATCGAGTATTATAGTTGAGAAGAGTGGAACTTTGCATAATAATTGAAGCATATCATTTACCGCTGGATAGTCAGCATCTATCAATCGAGGTACTCGAGCAGCACTAGTTAAGCTCCTAGAAATCAAGGACAGCTTGGACACAGTTCCTAGAAATCAAGGACACCTCCTAGCGAGCCTAGTGCAGCACTAATTAAGTCTGCACTAGTACAGTTCCTAGTAATCAAAGGCACCCTCTAGCGAGCCTAGTGCAGCACTAGTTAAGTCTGCACTAGTAAAGTTCCCAGTAAGCAAGCAACCTTCTGCCGGGCGTGGCGCCGCACTAGTTACGTCTCCACTAGTTAATTATGCACTAGTTCAGGTTCCTAATAAGCAAGGCACCTCCTGCCGCGCGTGTCGCCGCCCTAGTTATGTCTCCACTAGTTAATTATGCACTAGTTGAGGTTCCTAGTAAGCTACCTCCTGCCGTGCGTGGTCGAGGGACAGCACGGCCAGGAAGCAGGTGATCTGCAGCAGGAAGTCCACGGTGAGCGCCAGCCCCGCGTACAGCGCGAACGCCCGCACTGCCGGCATCGGCGAGAGGGCGCCTGCACAGAAAAATTAATTAGTTAATATTGTTGAATAATTAATTTTAGGTTTTCCGCACTTCAGGCAATTTTCATGGTTCAGTTCAGAAATAATGTTAAAAAACTACGGCTTTAATTCAATTCAAGCAGATACAAGCATCAGTTAATTGAGAAAAATTAACTTTAGGTTCAAGCTTTCCGCACTTCAGGCGAATTTTCATGGTTCGGTTAGGAAATAATGGTAAAAAATTACGGCTTTATTCATTTCAAGCAGATACAAGCATGAACTAATTGTAATATCTTCATAATTTTTACGATTTGGTAACAGTTAACGAGTCGCCCGCACTTCAGGTAACTTTACGTGATTACGTTAGGAAATAAAGTTAAAAAACGGCTTTAATGCATTTTAAAGCAAATACAAGCATCAATTAATTGTAATATTTTATAATTTCTACGATATGGTAACAGTTAACCAGTCGCAGCAAAAACGACCATGACCAACGACGAGAATTTTAATTTTGATTGAATTATTTCATCGAAATACGCAAAGGAAATAATAATATTAAAACATCCATGACAAAATTAATAATTGATAACAATGATTGATATAACAAATAATTGGTAATGATGATTTGTACAGCCATGACTTGATCTGCTGTGTGTCCAGTAACGGATTCTCCGCATAAGCGTAATCTATTAGGAATTTCTAACATGTATCTACAGTATTTATTTAAAGGGCCTCAATACAAAGGCCCTCAATACAAGAGCCCTCAATACAAGAGCCCTCAATACAAAAGCCCTCAATACAAGGGCCCTCAATACAAGAGCCCTCAATACAAGAGCCCACCTCAATACAAGAGGCCCTCAATACAAGGGCCCTCAATACAAGAGGCCCTCAGTACAAGAGGCCCTCAATACAAGGGCCCTCAATACAAGAGGCCTTCAATACAAGGGACCTCAATACAAGAGGCCCTCAATACAAGGGCCCTCAATACAAGAGGCCCTCAATACAAGAGGCCCTCAATACAAGAGGCCCTCAATACAAGAGGCCCTCAATACAAGAGGCCCTCAATACAACAGGCCCTCAATACAGACCCAGGAAGAAGCAGGCAGCTTCAGACCCTGTAGAGATGAGGAGGGAGGGGGCGACCTGCCCCAAGACGCGCCCCAACTGCTCAGGTCCGGTCTCGGTGGGGAGCTTCTCGGCCCGCTGGAGTCCGCTCACCAGCAGGAACATGTTGTCCACTCCTACAGCCAGAACTAGGAACGGGATCACCTGTCGGGGTAGTGGGTACTAATTAACTTATTACTAATTGATATTAGTTACCACTAAATAAGTTACTAATTGATATTAGTTCCTAATTAAGTTACTAAGGTGCAGTAGTTACTACTAATTCAGTTATTAATACTTGATATTAGTTAGTAAATAAGTTACTATGGGGCAGTAGTTACAACTAATTATGTTACTTATTGGTATTAGTTACTAATTAACTTATTACTAATTGATATTAGAGCTGCAGCTCTTACTAGTTGGTCTAAAGAGAACAAGGCAGTAGTTACTACTAATTAACTTATTACTAATTGATATTAGTTACCAATTGAGTTACTAATTGGTATAAGTTACTAATTGGTATAAGTTACTAATTGAGTTACTAATTGGTATAAGTTACTAATTGAGTTACTAATTGGTATAAGTTACTAATTGAGTTACTAATTGACATTGGAGCTGCAACTAGTACTAATTTGTCTGCAGAGAACAAGTATCACTATGAATGGACAGTTCCTAGGCCAGTGTATCAGGGCACTACGACCACTGGTAGTTATTCGACCATCAATGTCTCATTCACCCGTCTTACGACAGCAACAGTGGTTAATACAGTAAATACAGTACAGTAATTAGGACAGTAAAATCAACCCTCCTATATTGTAATATTACAAGATATTTGGCAACGCTTGGCATTTAAAACACTTCGATATATTGTGACTAAGACAGCATGTGTTAACCTGCAATGCATGACGGGGGTTCGAACCCGCGTCTCTTCACTCACTTATTAAAGTTAATGAAATTAAGTTTTTAAATTAAAAGTTAATTAGATACATCACTACTCACTCACCTCAATAATAATGAGCGTAGCAGGCACCCCAATGAGCGCATAGACCCCGACGGAGGCGGTGACAGAGGTGAGCACAATGAGCACCCCACACAGCCCCAGCGTCACCTTGCTGTCCACTGGCAGCCGTGAGCACCCGCTCACGTGTCCGATACCTGATGGGGGGGGGGGTGAATTATTATATTGCTCCTTATTATTTTCTTTATTGTTCCTTATTATTATTATTTTGAATTATTTTTTATTATTGTCCCTTATTATTATTATTTTGAATTATTTTTATTATTGTTTCTTATTATTATTTAGAATTATTTTTATTATTGTTCATTATTATTATTATTTTGAATTATTTTTTATTTTATAGTAGGAGAATTATTTTGTTGTTCCTTATTGTTATTATTTAGAAATGTATGCTTATAAATAAATGTTATAGATAGAATAATAATAATATGCACCTCCACAGAGGGAAAACACATACCTGACGGGGAGGGAATGAATTTATTTTATTGTTCCTTATCATTATTATTATTATTTAGAATTTTTTTTATTTATAGAATCGGCATATGCAAGACTTACTCGAGACCATGACTCACTCGAGACCATGACTTACTCGAGACCATGACTCACTAGAGACCATGACTCACTAGAGACCATGACTCACTAGAGACCATGACTCACTAGAGACCATGACTCACTAGAGACCATGACTAATGAGCACATACGAGATGAGCACCGTGAGCACATCTCCCTGACTCACTGAAGACGATGTAAGTGAACATGAGCACATATGAGACGAGCACAGTGAGCACATCTCCCTGACTCACTGAAGACGATGTAAGTGAACATGAGCACATATGAGACGAGCACAGTGAGCACGTCTCCCTGACTCTCCCTCTCCAGCTCGTCCTGGATGGAGCGCTCAGCTGAGAAGGAGATGCTCACCAGCGGGTGGGTCACGTTACGCACATACGCAAGGAACCTGCACGTACACACAGAGAAATGAGTGTGATTTGGTCAAAATAGCGGTGCACTCTTTGCCGCCGCCATGTGTGTCATTCTGACTCAGTTTTGCCTAGCTAAATAGTGTTTTAGTGCTACGTCCTATATTTTAAGTGCTATATTTGGACAATATAGCCCATTCATTTTTCTAAGTGTATGGCGTCCCGTTGGGAGTTACGTAAGTTTTTTTTTTGTGAAAAACAACGATCATTCAAAGTTTTAAACATTATCATTCAAATAATATAGATGATAAGCTGGTTTAACCATGATATTGGAAGCTAACTAGCGTGCAATGTTCACTTGCAATGTCACCTTCATTGTATATAACAGATTATTATTGACTTGAATGTTTATATTTACGCTTGCTCCTAAGCGCGTAAGACAATCAATGTTTAGCTACCTATATAAAAACAAATAAGAATGAAAAAATTCAGGAAACTTAATTAACATGTACCGCTAACCTCTTACACTTTTATCTCAACAACTAAGACCAATTAATCGGCTAAAATTAATCATTTAAATGACCAAAATTTGCATATTTAACCATTTACATTAAATCATTTAAATGAGCTAAATCAAAAGGTTACATACGCTTTCTCCCAGTCGAGCGCCTGAGCGTTATCGCTCTTGTTGAGGTGATTGTTGACGACGAAGGTGATGACCAGCGCTGTAGCGTTGTGGTACGCGGGGTTAACGCCTAAATCCTGTAATGTTAACCTTATTATAATATGGATCCTGACCAATGCAAGCCTTATTATTGGCTAAATAAATTAGCTAGATCCTGACCAATGCAAGTCTTATTAGTAGCTAAATAAATTAGCTAGATCCTGACCAATGCAAGTCTTATTACTAGCTAAATAAATAAATTAGCTAGATCCTGACCAACGGGGGACTAGTACCGGGTACCTAGTTACCAACGCTCATGGGGGACTGGTAACTAGCTACTACTGGTAACTAGTGACCACGACTCACAGTGGACTGGTAACTAGCTACTACTGGTACCTAGCTACTACTAGTAACTAGTGACCATGACTCACAGTGGACTGGTTGGCCAGGAAGCCCCCCAGGGAGGTGTAGGGGAACACAGGCCCCCCGTACGTCCCCAGGCAGGGCAGCCCCACGGAGCTCTCCTCAGGGTTCACTGGGTTCCTGCAGTATATTACAATTATTTTATTATAATTGTTATATTAGAATTATTATATTAGAATTAATATATTAGAATTATTATATTATGATTATTATATTATAATTATTATATTAGAATTGTTATATTTTAATTTGTACATTATAATTATTATACTACTGGAATTATTATGTTAGAATTACACTGGCATACATTATATTATTTCATTTTATCATTTTTTTCATCGCCCTTACATCGTAGTTTTTTATTCATTATGCCTACATCGCGTCTCATATTTTTCAGAATTACATTGAGATTTTGTCACTAAAGATCATACCTAGCTTTCCAAATACAATATACAATATATATACCTACAATATATATCATTTAGCCTATAGAAAGAATTAGGTTCATTCTTACCTGCAACACACGTCGAGATGCTTGATTAATATAAAATAATTAACATCAAGGCATTTTGGTTCATTTCCACCTGAATAAAAGCGTCGAGATGGTTAATAGGTCTAAATTAAATAACTAAGAATACAGTAATTTTATTTAATTCATTACCTGAAGCAGGCGTCGAGATGGTTGAGGTAAGTGACGTTATAACCTAACGCATCAACATCCTCGATGTCCAGGTTGCTGGGGTTGTTCTGGAAGTAGTTCAGCACAGACTGGATGGTGCAGTTCTCGTTGACAGGGGCCAGCGGCTTGAAGCAGATGTCCGAGAGACTTGTACCATTGTCGCCTAGTATCTAGATACATAAATAATTTTTTAAATATTTTTTCAGCAAGATAAACAAAATTCGCACGGATAAGAACATATAAAGTTGAATACCTATAACGTTGATTGGCCGCATGTCCGACAAAGTTGAGCCGTTGTCGCCACGTATCTAGATACATAAATTAATTTTATTTACATTTTTCAATACCATAAACAATATTCGCACCTATAAGAGCAAACGTTTTATCTAACGTTGATTTAACGTTAATTAAGCGCATGTCCGAGAGAGTTGTACCATTGTCGCCACGTATCTAAATACATAATTTAATTTTATTTAGGTACATTTTTCAATACCATAAACAATATTCGCACGGATAAGAACATCTAAAGTTGAATACCTATAACGTTGATTAGCCGCATGTCCGACAGAGCTGTACCATTGTCGCCAAGTATCTAGATACATCAATTTATACTTTTTTCATTTTTTAATACAATTGACAATATTCGCACCGATAAGAACATCTAACGTTGATATAACGTTAGCTAATCGCATGTCCGACAGAGTTGTGTCATATTCGCTACGTATATCTATGGCAACAAATTAACATCGAGGACTAACCCTTTTTTAACGCTCAGAGCAATATTCGCCCAACGAGCTTCTGACGTTAAGATAACGCTAATTAAATGTTATTTCAACGAAATTCATAATCTAGGTTTTTTTTTGTACGCGGACGGTAAACTACATTTCGCTTTTTCACGCAGCACCGTACAAATGAAGGCGTTGGCTCGCTGAGCGTTGGCTCGCTGAGCCTGCTTACAATTGCGTTTGTACTGAAGTATAGAAGAAAAACATAAATTTATGTAGGTATATAATTATAATACCTACTCATACGGCAACTACTAAGTAGTGTGGCAGCCTCTGAACGTAGTAAGATTGTGCAACCTGGCGAAGTTTAAACAGCCACGAGTGTAGCTAAAATGGTCATCAACTCTGGCACATAACACCGAGTGCCCACACAAGCATACGAAATTCCTGGTGAAATTTTCAAGAATTCAGCTCATTTATGTTGAAATCGCCTGAAAACATAATAAAAATTCACCGTGGCTCATCCAGTACGAAATAAATAACGTAAATTAACCGAAATTGCAAATTCCAACTAGGCCTATCGAAAATTTCATTTGACAGTCTGCAGGCCCAGTAAAAAAGATAACCAAAGACTACCTCCAATTTAGAGCTCGCACGAATAATAATAATTCGAAAATTTTAGCGCAACTTTGGCTAAAAAATCTCACCTCATTTTCAATCTGGCATGAATAATAATAATACCGTTAATTAATACGAACATTTTAGCGCAACGTTAGCTCAAAAATCTCACTTCATTTTCAATGTAGTTTTGGATGTCAGCGACCGCCTTCAGGAACTCCTTGTTGAACACCGGGCCCCAGACCTTCACTCCGTCAGGTGTTAGCTGCTCAACCTTAATGAAAACACAACAAAACATAAGAAATTTAGAAATAAGAAAGAACGTTAAATTAAATTAACACATTTGTACGAGCTAGTATACTAATCTGGAGCCCATTTCTAGTACATCCTTTAATATTTGCGACATGTGTGGATTGGTAAATTTATTTGCAATTTTACAGTTCATTAAAATTTTATATTCACACAAGCACTCCTGTGTACTGTGTGGTTTATGAAGAACTATTGGATCTTTGCAGCTTCGTTTTATATACTCTTTATTAAAACCTTTTTGTTGGCGTCACGACTTTCAATCTCCAAGATATATGAATGAAGAAGTTAACGTCACGAGGTTTATTAATTCAATGTATGAATAAATGAAAACCATCGATATTCATGTACCAGATACGTACAATAAACTTCTCACTACGACGTCCTCTTGTAGACTTGTTCCAATAATGTCAACAAAATGCTACAGACTTCGTCAAAAAAGCAATGAAGTTTTTTCTCATAACCGCACGAAGCTGCCAATGATACTCACTGGGCCAAGTCCCACGGGACGGATGATAATCATCTCAACGAAGCTACCAATGATACTCACTGGGTCTAGTCCCACGGGACGGATGATAATTATCTCAACGAAGCTACCAATGATACTCACTGGGTCTAGTCCCACGGGACGGATGATAATCATCTCAACGAAGCTGCCAATGATACTCACTGGGTCTAGTCCCACGGGACGGATGATAATCATCTCAGTTCTGTAGAAAGGTTCGAAGTGTTCATCGAAATATTGTTTCTCCAAGCGTGACCTGGAGGTTGGAGCAGCCCACAGCTCCACGGGGTCTGTTGTCACGACCAACTGCCGTACTCCACATGACAGACCCAGGGCTACCAGCACGCTGGCTGCTATCACCTTCCAGGGGTGACGGCCTACACCTGATATATAGTCAAACTTTATTAGTAATTACCTTGGAGTACACCAGAGATACTATAGTCAAAATTTTATTAGTAATTACCCTAGTGGCTTGTAATCACCTAAGTAAAAGGTAAATGAAATGTTGCAAGCTATACTAGCGCGCTGGCTGCAATCACCTTCCACGGGTTACGACCAACACCTGAGATATAGTCAAAACTTTATTAATTATTACCCTAGAGGCTTCTAATCACCTAAGGAAAAAGGTAAAAGAAATGCTTCAATCTATTTTAACATGCTGACTGCTATCACCTTCCAAGGGTGACACTATCAGCTCTAACATATAATTAAATCTCAATCAATAATTACCCTTGTAGTTAATTAACATAAATAAAAGTAATGAATTTTTTGCTATAGTAATATAAGTGAATGCCACAACCCTCACATTTATCTAAAATGTTCAATCAATAAATGTTCGAATGTTGAATAATGCTCCTAACAGGTCATTAAAATTAAAGTGAAAAAAATTATTCCTTTTAGCAACAGAAGGAAATGTTGCAAGCGATTCATACAGGATAGCAAGCATCAGACGTAAGACTAGCTGACCTGTCGCTAACATCGAAGGATAAACATTAACAGTCAGCATTCATAATAATGATTCTTCATTCCTTGCTTGCAATTTAGCAACACACAAATATTGACAAAACCTTCGCTCTCGTCTGGTTAAACAGTTATTTAATTAATATTATTAACTAAAATTGATAAAGAAGAGTATGCCATATTTTCAACATCTTTGCTCATTTCTCATTTGACCTTTGCACTAACAACAGCAATTCATTTAATATTATTGAGAAAAGAAAATACACATGACTGTTTGATATTTGCAACTCCCTTGGCCAGTTATAAACCGACCTCTCTATTAACAACGGCAATTTATTTAATATAATTAAGACAGAAATAAACATAGTTGGATATAGGCAAGACTCGCCGGTTCCCCACTTAACAAAGAACAGGCGGATTATTGCGAGAATTTATTTAATATAATTAAGATATAAATATAAACATGATAGTAGGATGTAAACAGTTTAATTAATATAATTAGAATATAAATAAACATAACAATTAGATGGAGGCAGTACTTACCGGTTCCCCACATGATGGGCCACATCACAAAGAACAGGCGGATTATTGTGAAAATTTATTTAATATAATTAAGACAGAAATAAAGATAGATGTAGGCAGTACTCACCGGTTCCCCACTTAACAAAGAACAGTCAATTTATCTAATATACCGTAATTAAGATATAAATAAACGTAATAATAGGATGCAGGCAGGACTCACCGGTTCCCCACTTGACAAAGAACAGGCGGATGCCGTCTGATATCCTGTGGCCGAGTCTGCCTGGACACCTACAGTGCACGTACAGCTCGCCTGACGGAACTGTTAACAACGATATAATAACACTGTAATTACACGCTCTATAAATTACATCTCTAGTACATCATAAAACCAATGAATTTTCCCTGTATTTCTGCAATTTCCCGTGAAATGATAAAACAGTTTTCCCTGTATATCTAATGATCTATAAATCTAATTTTTCAATTTAATCCTTGTACATTTTGTTGAAAAATGCTCACTTCATATAATTTGAAACGGTTTTATGCAAAAACTAGAGCACCCACATAAATGCGTTTTGATGCGTTAGTCATTTAATTCCCTGGCAGATAATTTCCAAATAAAATGCTGTTAATGATCACATCGTAAATTACCAAACAAATATGCACACAAAATTTACGGTTAATGGCTCATTTCAAACATCATTTATTACTTAAAATTAAAAGTTCCGTCTTGATTAAATCATTCTCGTTCCCATTACGATGGACCAGACGGGAGAGGTAAAAAGTCTAGTAGCGAAATTTATGCAAATTTTTTAACAACCAGGTTGATTTTCCTCAAATATTTTTCCTTTGTTTAAAATGTCAAAAAAATTTCAAACATGCCTTCGCACCAACAAGGTACATTTTTCACGAACATATTCCTGAATCTAAAACGACAAAAAAATTGTAAACATAACTTTGTCGATTTTTTTTCCACGAAAAAAATTACGGCAAACTTTGCAACCATAACTTTGTCGTATTTTTTTCCACGAAAAAAAATGACGGGAAAATCTGTAAGCATAACTTTCTCTTTCATTTTCCCACGAAAAAAAAGAAGGGAAATTTAGTAATCATAACTTAATCGATTTTTTTTGCACGAAAAAATTACGGAAAATTTGGCAAACATAACTTCGCCGATTGTTTTTCCCCACGAAAAATCCCCTATAATTTGAACTCTATCAAATATTTAAGCGTGCCTTTCTCGAAGATGTTGCAGAGGAGGACAATGGACCAGACGAGGACGACGGACAGACCGAGGGCGCCGTAGATGATCTCCCTCTGCAGGAGACTGAAGCCCTCAGAGGGAGGTTCTGGGGGCACAGGACACGCCCTCTGGCAGTCCATGCAGCTGCACTCCCGAGACCCGTTCTGGGGGAGGAATGACGGGGGTTCTGGGGAGGAATGCTTGGGGTTCTGGGGGAGGAATGCTTGGGGTTCTGGGGGAGGAATGTTTTGGGTTCTGGGGGAGGAATGTTTGGGGTTCTGGCTTCTGGGGGAGGAATGCTTGGGGTTCTGGGGGAGGAATGTTTTGGGTTCTAGGGGAGGAATGCTTGGGGTAGAAGGCTTCTGGTCACACTCATCACTCAGACACAACACAACACACCACACACTCATAACTCACGGAAGGCTTCTGGTCACACGGCACGATGGGCCTGGAGAAGCTGTTGTCTTGGGTCCCATTAACGAAATTATACTTGATGGTGAAGGGGGCGACGCCGTTACTTGTGGACCCCATGAACTCGAACCATCTTTGTGGGGTGCAGTAATATGACCCCCATGGACCACACATGATGGACATGACCTTCTCGTTGGTGGACGGCATGGACACGTCCTTACAGGAGTCGAACACGCCATCAGCGAAGGACTCGGACATCGAGAAGTCAAGTTCGGTGATAACGGTCTTGTCTGCATGAGATAAGAACGGAGATAAATTCATAACTTATTAGATGCATGCTTCGTGACTTTAATACATCAGGTAAGACCAAATGAATTTGATACTTGTCTTCAATCGAATGAATTTACAGTATCTACTTATGTTAAAATTAGGTCAACCAAATACATCGAATACTGGTCTTGAACAGGCATCTCCCTAAAAAAACTAGGGTTACAATCAACAAATTTCGTCATTGATAAAAGGAAACAAATTTAAAAAAAAAATTGATGCCTATAGAAAGCAAGTATTAGCTTCCAGAATTCAAGAATGTGACGTTTATGTTTACCGCTCCAACACCCAACAGGATTAACTGGTGTTGGAGAGGCGACAACGCCCCAACGTCATGGAAAGTAAATTTGCACAAGAAAATTGAACTCTGGCTGCAGGTCTCGCACAGGATGGAAGAACAAGCCGCGGAAGAGCGAGTGGTTGAGGTCATCAAAGAGAACCCCAATATTTTTTTAAATATGCTCAGTCCAAGGCTAAAATAAAGACGCCAGTAGGCCCGCTTAAGGATAACGAAAGTCATTGTCGGAGATGACCAGGGCATGTGTGAGTTACTGGGATCTCAGTTTGAATCAGTGTTCAGTAACCCCCGCTACTCAAGGGAGGAGAATGAAATTGAAGTTCTCCAGGAGCTGCCAGGCGGTAGAGAGCCTGTCTCTTATACACATCTAGATGTGTATAAGAGACAGNTCTAACGCCCCTAGGACTCACTGGTGTCGGGGGCGGTGGTTCTAACGCTCCTAGGACTCACTAGTGTCGGGGGCGGTGGTTCTAACGCTCCTAGGACTCACTAGTGTCGGGGGCGGTGGTTCTAACGCCCCTAGGACTCACTGGTGTCGGGGGCGGTGGTTCTAACGCCCCTAGGACTCACTGGTGTCGGGGGCGGTGGTTCTAACGCTCCTAGGACTCACTGGTGTCGGGGGCGGTGGTTCTAACGCTCCTAGGACTCACTGGTGTCGGGGGCGGTGGTTCTAACGCCCCTAGGACTCACTGGTGTCGGGGGCGGTGGTTCTAACGCTCCTAGGACTCACTGGTGTCGGGGGCGGTGGTTCTAACGCTCCTAGGACTCACTAGTGTCGGGGGCGGTGGTTCTAACGCTCCTAGGACTCACTAGTGTCGGGGGCGGTGGTTCTAACGCCCCTAGGACTCATGGGTGTAGGGTGCGGTGGTACTAACGCTCCTATAACTCACTGGTGTCGGGGGCGGTGGCGGTGGTACCAACACTCATGTAGTTGCTGTGGTCAGGAGCACAAGCACTATAAGTAGTAGCACTAACGCCCCTATAACTCACTAGTGTCGGGGGCGGTGGTTCTAACGCTCCTATAACTCACTAGTGTCGGGGGCGGTGGCGGTGGCACCAACACTCATGTAGTTGCTGTGGTCGGGGGCACAAGTGAGGTAGCACTAACGCCCCTATAACTCACTAGTGTCGGGGGCGGTGGCGGTGGTACCAACACTCATGTAGTTGCTGTGGTCGGGGGCACAAGTGAGGTAGCACTAACGCCCCTATAACTCACTAGTGTCGGGGGCGGTGGCGGTGGTACCAACACTCATGTAGTTGCTGTGGTCAGGGGCACAAGTGAGGTAGCAGTAGGCGAGCTTAAAGTTCCTGAGGCAGGCAGGACAGCGCTGCAGGAGAGCCACGCCCGCTGCAGTCTGCGTCTGCAGGGACAGCACCTGCTCCCTAGAGCAGCATGTCGATACGCTCCCGTTATGAACTCCTGCATGAAAATAATAGGATATTTATTTTTGTGTATAAATAAAATTTTAGTGCATGAAAGAGAAAATAAACATCAGGACGCCAGGCTGCCGTTATGCACTTCTGAACAGCATACACCATAGTAAATCACATTTATAATCAAAAAACAAATAAAAATTTTGGTATTCACAAAATAAACAGTATAGGTAGGTCATATGGATTCTTATATTTTTTATCCTATAAAGCTCCAATACCTATTATTACCAGTTTCTTATACATAATAATAGGGTATTAATAGGTAGGGTAGGTAGGTAATAGTTAATAGCGTTGCATAGGATAAAAAAAGATAAGAATCCTAAGGACCTACCCCCAAGCGACTGGAAAGTCCTAAGTTTCACAAGTACTATCATTTCATCAGCTCTAGCAGCTGGAACAATTTCATATCACCACTGGAAAGTCCTAAATTTCGCAATATGTCATCTCGAATTCCAAATTTCAGATTTTCGAATCAAAGACTTTCAGGTACTGTAATATAATAATAAGGTAATAATAATAATAATAATAATACGTAATAATAATAATAATGATAATAACAATAAAAATAATAATAATAATAATGTAATATAATATATAATAATAGGGTTAATATATTATATATTATTCCCTATTATTACCCTATTACCTACCAATTTCGTGGACGAGCTCAGGACAGACGGCGGCCAGGACGGGGGTCATCTCGGGGGGCAGGGGCTTGGGGGGGCCCGAGTAGGGGCAGTTGGAGGGCAGGGATGTCGCGGGGTTCTGCCCACACTGACCATACCACACGCAGTGCCCGCCATCCTGTAAAATTGATTTGGATTTTGGTCGTAGCTTTTTTCATTAAAGATGGCCGTCAGTCTGTAAAAATGATTTGGTCGTAATTCGTTTTTTTTAATAAAGGTGGCCGGTCGTCCTACAAAAAAAATTTTTTTTTTATTCAATAAGTATGGCCGGTCGTCTTTAAAAATTTATTTTTCATTTTCTCAATAGAGATGGCCGGTCGTCTGTAAAAATTCATTTTGCATTTTTTAAAATAAAGATTGCCGGTGGTCGGAAAAGATGAATAGATTTTTACTATATTTTCCTCGTTAGGGATAAAAATTAGTATACCTATTTTGACACCATACCTACATTATTTGGTTATTTTAAAGTTTGCAAAGTTGCGAGTTTACGCAGTTCAACATAATAATTAATTAGCAAAATGTTTCGCGAACATTTCTCAACATTTATGACGAGAATCGTCGGCATAATGGGTTGACGGAAGTGAAATTGCCGTCATTGATAGTTATAATCAACTAATATATATATATATACATCTGTATTTATTTCCTTTAGCTAAACCGGACTTCTTGGATTATTTATGGCATTTCGAAATCAAGTAGTAGAATCTCTATAAAACACGTGCACAAAACCAATATTATCAATAGAATCCATTATATTGTTGGGATAGCGGACGAGCTTATCAGCACACGTCATCTTGCCTGTCTCAGGAGCATTCCTAACTCATACCAAACTTTCATTCATTGAATGAAAGGGCAAACCAAACTCATACCAAACTTTCATTCATTGGATGAAAGGGCAAACCAAACTCATACCAAACTTTCATTCATTGAACCTAACTTTCATTCATTGAATGAAAGGGCATTCCATAACTCATACCAAACCTTCATTCATTGAATGAAAGGTCATTCCAAACTCATACCAAACTTTCATAGCTGGTCAACGCTTTCAACAAGCTTGTTAAAGGGTCAACGGAAGCTGAACAAACTGTAAAAGGTTCATTTCAATAATACTGAAGGATAGATCAAGGAGGATACATGGAGGTTACCAGCCCTGAAGGCTGAAAACCAGAAGGTTTCAGAGAGCAGGTGCGTATAGAGCGTGTCGAGCGAGAAGGATACGCTTAGAAAGCGTGCATCCTTCGTGTTATTTGTTCCTGAGATACACCGATCGATGTGTCAATTATTTGTAAGGCTTAGAATCATTGCCGGCCTTTTCGTTAATATGAGCGTATCAGATCTTTGCTAAAGGTCAAGATTGTATACTATCGGCTGGTGAATCTCACCGGCAATATGTTGTTTAGTGACATTTTAGTTTAATAACACTATTTACTGACTGGTACTGAAAACATTCTAGGCAAGGTATCACTTAAATATTAGTTATTGAAAAAAATACTCAACTAAACGGGACATAATATATAATTACAGACATATGAAAAGTGTCATCAGGTATAATCGGGAATTATTTCGGACAAAACGGCAGAACTACAATGTTTCCAACCAAGAATGGCATTATAGAGCTATCAATTCCGTTATGAGTTTACACGTAAATAAGAAAATACTTAGACAACTCCTTATGGAGCCCATAAATAAGTCACATAATTAAAAGAACAGTTATTTTTAAGCCAGCTATAAGACTTTCTTCATGCATGGGAAAGCCCTACTGTCATTCCTTCTTTACTTTACCTATAAACGACATTGAACATTACCACTAAAAGGAATGTGAGCAGCTGTTTGAATTGCTGTATCTTTCTATGGATAAGAATATATAAAAAAGCGATTATAATCATTGTAATCCCTGACTATTTATTAGTTATAGATCAAATAAAGTTTCTAACACAAAGTAAAATGATGCTAGCCCTCGTTAGCGCTCAGTGGGAATCGCAGATATCACTCCTTGAGAAAGCAAATCTGATCCAGCGTGCGGGAAACTATCCACTGAAGCAAAGGTTGTCAGAGGCAAAGTAATGCAATAAAATATCTTCTGGAGCAGTGTCAAATAATGCACTATGATTACAAAATATTGCAAAATTGATTGCGGATGATAACGGGGTACAATTAATATCATTGGTGTGTTAATTTAGCCATATATACCTACCACACAGTAACATTATTGTGGCATGTTCAGCTGGGACTTATTATTTGGGAGGAGGCAGGCTGGCTCAAGTTCATGTAAAATGAACTTGAGTTGGGTCACTAGGAGGGAAAGTTCGGGTCACATGCCCGTGTAAAATGAACTTGAGTTGGGTCACGAGGATTGAAAGTTCGGGTCACACGCCCGTGTAAAATGAACTTGAGTTGGGTCACTAGGAGGGAAAGTTCGGGTCACACGCCAGTGTAGAATGAACTTGAGTTGGGTCACGAGGATGGAAAGTTCGGGTCACATGCCGTGTAGAATGAACTTGAGTAGGGTCACTAGGAGGGAAAGTTCGGGTCACATGCCAGTGTGGAATGAACTTGAGTTACGTCACTAGGAGGGAAAGTTCGAGGGAAAGTTCGGGTCACATGCTCGTGCAGAATGAACTTGTGGGAGCTGGGCACGATACATAACGTAGACATTCCTATACAAGCGGTCCATGATAAGCGAACTGGTCATCCTTGGAGCTATCCTTCGCATTAGGGAGGATGACACGTCATTATCATGGGTCAGAGCGGAGGAAAAGTGTGTCAAGACGAGGGAATCATGGGTCAAGACGAGGGAATCATGGGTCAAGACGAGGGAATCGTGGGTCATGAAGTGGTAATTGAGGGTCGGACTTAAGAAAATATCTTGTGAATGTATGATCCGTTGAGCAACGTTCCGTGCAAGAAAGATTCAGATAGCAGCGTCACTTCTCTTGCATTCATTAACTAGTAAATTTTCTCTCCTAATATTTCACTAACCTTTTAAAAATTATGAAGCAATCGGAAGAGATAAATATCTTGAAATATTGAATAAATAGGTTATTAAGTTCTCAGAGTTCAAGATCAGCTGAAGATGACAATAAGAATATGGTGATTAAATTAGGTTGCATGAAATAATCGGCATATTAACGGCAATGAAAAGAAGGCTCTACAAAGGAAATGTGGAAAGCAGGCAAACATAGTGAAGGTCTCACCATACACGTAGGAACTGACGCGAATTATGAAGGCACTGCTTACTGAGAAAAGAATGTAAATAATGAATGTAGCACCATACACACAAGAAACTATGCCAATAGTGAAGGTAGCACCATACACATAAGAAACTATGCCAATAGTAAAGTTAGCACCATGCACATACATAGGAAAATACGCGAATTGTGAAGGCACCGCTTACTGAGAAAAGTTTGTAAATAGTGAAGGCCCGAAATAGTGTGACCCGAAACATACACGAAGGAAACCATGCCAATAGTGAAGGCGCCGAGTTCAGAACAAAATGTAAACAGTGAAGGTCACACCATGCACATAGGAAACCTTGCTAATATAGTGAAGGCGCTGAAAATGTAAACAGTGAAGGTCGCACCACACACATAGGAAACCTTGCTAATAGTGAAGGCGCTGAAAATGTAAACAGTGAAGGTCGCAGTAGACATGAAGGAATGAAACAGTGAAGGCCGCAGAGCACACACGAGATGTCAGGGCTACAGCCACGCTCTCCTCACAACAGAAACCTGCAGCCTGTCAGCCGTGACCATCTGACCAAGACTAGCCGACCATCCTGCTCGATAAATAACCGACCAACCTTGGTTGACCTGATCATCTGACCAAGACTAACCGACCAAACTTGTCTGACCATCTGACCAAGACTAGCCGACCATCCTGCTAGATAAATAACCGACAAACCTTGCCTGACCATCTGACCAATTTTAGATGATTGGTAGAGATCATAAAAACATGAGCAGCGAGTTGGGGGTTCGAGACCCGCAAAAGTTTGAGAAAATTCTGGTCGACATCGGCAAGGTGGCCGAGTGATATAACAAACGCTACACAGGCCAACATGGTCCAGTAAAAGCTGACGCAACCTTTGAGTATAATACAACAATTGACAATAATGTAGACATTAAACCTCTAAATATAATACAACAATTGACAATAATATAGACATTAAACCTTCAAAAATAATGCAACAATGCGCCAATAATGTAGACATTAAACGGCATTTTATTTTTTGCGTCGGCAGCAGAAGAGAAACTAATGCCTTTGATGTAGTTTTTACGAACGCCATTCGCCCTAAATATCGGCCTTAACGCGATGTCTCAGAAAAAAACGAACATGAATATCATACTGATACATCAAAATAAATGACATAACATATTGCATTAATGCAGATTTTAACCCCTATGTCAACGGATAAGTTAACCGTCGCCAATGCTTCTCGTACCAAGAAGCTTGATAACACCAGTTTCCGTCAATAGTTTATATATTTTTCATTACGAGTTTAGATTAAAGCGAGTTTTGAATATGAGAAAGAGGAAAAAATTTAGCAATAAATTTAATTCTGTACCTAGAAAAGATGCAATAGACAGCGCACATGCACGGCAAGCGTGCGGAGAAAGCGGCGCGTGAAACGGGCTTAGCGCTCAATGCAGGCGACGCTGGCGCTCAATGCAGGCGACGCTGGCGCTCAATGCAGGCGACGCTGGCGCTCAATGCAGGCGACGCTGGCGCTGTCTCTTATACACATCTGACTTATTATTTGGGAGGAGGCAGGCTCTGTCTCTTATACACATCTAGATGTGTATAAGAGACAGGGGCGGTGGCGGTGGCACCAACACTCATGTAGTTGCTGTGGTCGGGGGCACAAGTGAGGTAGCACTAACGCTCCTATAACTCACTAGTGTCGGGGGCGGTGGCGGTGGTACCAACACTCATGTAGTTGCTGTGGTCGGGGGCACAAGTGAGGTAGCACTAACGCCCCTATAACTCACTAGTGTCGGGGGCGGTGGCGGTGGTACCAACACTCATGTAGTTGCTGTGGTCGGGGGNCTCAATGCAGGCGACGCTGGCGCTCAATGCAGGCGACGCCGGCACTCAATGCAGGCGACGCTGGCGCTCAATGCA